CTGACCTACTTTCGCTGCCTAAAGAACAGTCATTCTCAAGCAGCTAAGTCTGGTATATATTTTGGGGAGACAACTTAAGAGAAATCCTTCTGTTCCTCACAGTGGATTAAGGTAATGGGGGTCCAGACCCAGACAGAGTCAAGTCAGATTTGGGAAGGTGAGAGTTTGCCATCTCTGGGATTCCAAGGTCGGGAAGAAACTAACCCTGGGAGTACAGCCTGTCTCCTTGGCTAGCTGCGGATGAGGGGACCCGCTCCTTCTGCTTCTGACTGGGGGGTTGCAGCCTCCCTGGGCCAGAGCGGAACATCAAACATCTGTTCTTGGATTTCCCTGGAAGGCTTCACATGCCGTCTTTCTGTCTGGGACACTGCGTGTATGGAGGTGAAATGTGTCCAGATAGAAATAAGGCATAGGATGAGACCAAGGCAAGAAGAACTCTACTTTGATGTGCACAGGGATTTTAAAAATTCATGGAATCGTGGAAGTAACAGATGATAGAACTTTCCCACAAACGTTTGGGAGTCATTGCATGACCTCGTCTGGGTTTTCTTTTATCACTAACATTTCATCTGGAAGAAAGTCGGGCTCAAGGAGAGCCTATGGTTCTACCTACGATTCCAGATACCTTCTTTTAATATGGCGTATGACACCATCATTATTCTATTTTATTACCAATCTTCCTCAAAGTTTTACTCTGATTTTGTGAATTTTTTAAGTTTCAGAAAATATATGAAGCATATGGGGACAAATATGTGTTTCAGGATAGTTTTTGAAGGGGCCTATTCACATATTTTCAATTGGATGTCCATTAAAAATTATTATTCCAAAGCTTGTGCCTGCCAAGAAGTGGTGGGTAAAAAAATCTCAGTCATATTATTTCTTGTGGGGAAACGACTGTAAGGTTCTTCATTGATATATCATTGCCACGTGTCAACTCTTTGCATCTACACATTTTTCTTAGCTCGGTGCGGAACTGAGCGCTCAGGCCATCAGCCACCTGGAGGAAGTGAGTGATGAAGGCATCGCTGCCCTGGCAACAGCCAAGTGTGCCGCCGTTCTGCTGCCCACCACAGCCTACATGCTGAGGTATGGTCATCTCTGACATTCCTACACAGGAGCCTCCAGTTCCAGCAGTAAAGAGAACACGTAGGAAATGCCTAGACACGCTCTCACTGCCCGGCGCACCTGGGAAACGTGCAGCTGAAGAAAGATCCACTCCCCTGCTTGCCCTCAGGAAGGGATCCTGGAAAGTATGGATCCTTTGGCAAAGTGTGGTGAAGGAGCCAGATGGTGCCATCCGAAAGGATAGCATCTGGGGGCTGAAAGGCTTGTCTTCAAACAAGCAGCCATCTGAGTGAGGTGTCCGCTAAGTCCACACAGAAGAAGCCCACCAGCCCGTGTGAGCCAAGGCTTGGAAATCATAAAACCCAAACCCGAAGGACAGAATGGTGTCAGAGGTTAAATTGCAAACCCTGGCCTGCAGAAGGCTACGATGGCAGTGGAGGCCCCAAATCCATTTGCATGCTCCCACATGGACAGAGCCTCCGGGAACGCCATTTGACCATAGCCCAGGGATGTGGCCAGTCTTTAGCCCAGGGATATGGACAGTCTTTAGCCCAGGGATGTGGACAGTCTTTAGCCCAGGGATGTGGCCAGTCTTTAGCCCAGGGATGTGGACAGTCTTTAGCCCAGGGATGTGGACAGTCTTTAGCCCAGGGATGTGGCCAGTCTTGCTGGCCGACAGAGAGCCCTGGAAAGCCGATTATGGCAGCTATATTAGGTCAAATGGTAACGTCTTCTCATTTGAGCTCCTTGTTGACCCATTTAAAAATCATTTCTGCTTTCTCTTTGATTGGGACTTTTCTGTTTTGTCTCATCATTATTGTTGGGATTGTTTGTTTTGTTTGCTTGCTTCCTGTTTGTGTTTTGTATGATTTTCTGTCGATGAAATCCAGGAGAGGGAGATCTACGGAGCCGGCAACTGGATTACTAATTGCCCTGGGGCATGGCAGGGGAGGCTGCTGGGACATGGGGAGCTCACAGCAATAAGTGTGAGAAGAAGGTGTTCTGAGATTGATCGTGGTCCTGATCGCACACTTCTTCTTATTGTGCTTGGACAGTTACATTGGATGGTTTGTGAAATATATGTGAACAAAACTTTTTTTTAAACAAAAGAAAACTTAGCTCATGGGCAGGGGATGTCAACTCTGGAATGGTCTTATAAATGAATTCATGACCTCAGGAAAGCACCCATAGGTGGTGTGAAAGTTGTTACCACCGAAGATATGGTGGTCTGCTTCTGTGAT